GCTTGATTGTGAACCATTAATAACTACTCTGTGAGTATGCTTTTCCAACCAGTTGTACACCCACATTATGGTAGGTTTAACTAGGGTATATTTCCTTAGTTTGCTTAAAAAAAGGTCATGTGAGACAGCATCAAAAGCCTTACTAACGTTGAGACATATCACATATACTGTTTCCCCCCTACCCACAAGGCTTGTTACCCTGTCAAAGAAGGATGACTGTTACTTATCACCTTATTAATTTGTAGGTGATTACAAATTGATTGTTTGATTATTTACTGCATTATCTTTCCGGGTACCAACATTAAGTTGAATGGTCTATAGTTCACTGGGTTGTCCCTATTTCACTTTTTATAGATTGGTATTATATTTGCCCTTTTACAGTCCTCTGCGATCTCTCCCATCCTCCACAAGTTCTCAAAGATAATCATTAATGGCTCAGCCAGTTCCTTAAGTATTCTAGGATGTATCTGGTCGAGTTCTGCCAAATATATTCAGACATTCAGCATTACTCCCGCTCATGTATACACTTATCATCGAATCATAGAAATGTTGGAGTGGAAGGGATCTAGAGATGTTTACAAGTCCAGCCCCCTTCACTGAGGCAGGACCAAGTCCAGGATAGGTGACCATCCCTGACAGGTGTTTGTCCAATTCTAAAAATCTCCAATGATGGGGATTCCACAACCACCCGTGGAAGCCTATTCCAGAATGTATCTACCCTTATAGTCAGAACATTTTTCCTAATATCTAACCTAAATATCCCTTGCTTCAGATTAAGCCCATTACATTTTATTCTATCTTCAGTGCACATGGAGAACAATTGATCACCATTCTCTTTATAGCAGGCCTTAACATAACTGAAGAATGTTATCAAGGTTTCTCCTCAGTTTTCTTTTCTCAAAACTAACATGTCAAGTTTTTTTTTAAACTTTTCCTCATAGGTCAGGTTTTCTATACCTTTTATCATTTGTGTTGCTCTCCTCTGGACTCCCTCAATTTCTCCACAACTTTCCTAAAGTGTGGCACCCAGAATTGGACACAGTTCTCCAGTTGAGGCTGAGTAGAGCAGGACAATTGCCTCCATGTCTTACATATAACATTCCTGTTAATACATCCCAGAATGACAATAGCTTTGTTCATAACTGCACAGTTGACTCATATTCAATTTGGGATCCACAGTAGTCCCCAGTCCTTTTCAGCAGTACTAAAACCTAGCCAGTAATTCCTCATTTTGTAGTTGTGCATTTCATTTTTTCTTCCTTAGGGCTTGTCTACACTTACAGCACTGCAGAGGCGCAGCTTGTGACACTGTAGCACTTAGTGAAGATGCTACCTACACCAATGAGAGCCCTCCTGTCAGCGTTAGGAATTCCACCTCCCTGAGAGGCAGTCGTTATGTCAACAGGATGAGCTTTGCCATCAACATAGCACTGTCTACACCAAGGGTTAGGTTGGTATAACTACATTGCTCTGGGGTGTGGATTTTCCACACCTCTGAGTGACGTAGTTATACACACATAACTTGGTAGTGTAGACAAAGCTTAAGCAAATTACTTTGCACTTATTTTTACTGATTTTCATCTTGTTGAATACAGACCAACTCTCCGATTTGTCAAGGTCCTTTTGAATTCTAATATTACCCTCTAAAGTGTTTGCAACCCCTCCCAGCTTGGTGTCATCTGCAAATTTTATAAGCATACTCTCCACTCCATTATTCAAGTAATTAATCAGGACACTGAATAGTACCAGACACAGGACTGACCCCTGAGGGACCCTACTAGATATGCCTTCCCAGTTTGACCATGAACCATTGATAATTACTCTTTGACTACGGTCTTTCAACCAGTTGTGGACTCATCTTATAGTAATTTCGTCTAGATCATATTTCCCTATTTTGCTTATGAGAATATCATGTGGGACAGTGTCAAAAGCCTTAGAAAAATCAAAATATATCAGACCTACTGCTTCCCCCCATCCACTAGGCCAGTAACCCTGTCAAAAAAGGAAATTAGCTTAGTTTGGCATGCTATGTTCTTGACAAATCCGTGCTGGTTATTACTTATAACCCTATTATCCTCTAGATGCTTAAAAATTGATTAATAATTTGTTCCAGTATCTTTCCAGGTATCAAAGTTACATTGACTGGCCCATAATTTCCAGGGTCCTCTTTGTTCCCCTTTTTAGAGATAAGTATAATATTTGTCCTTCTCCACTCCTCTGGGACCTCACCCATCCTCCAGGAGTTCTTTAAGATAACTGCTAATGGATCTGAGATTGCTTCAGGTAGTTCCTTAAGTACAATAGAATAAATTTCATCAGGCCCTGTTGACTTGAATACATCCCACTTATCTAAATATCCTTTAACCTATTCTTTCCCTATTTTGGCTTGTATTCCTTCCCCCTTATTGAAGATATTAATTGAGTTGAATATCTGGTCACAATTAATCCTTTTAGTGAAGACTGAAGCAAAACAGGCATTAAATACCCAACATTCTTGATGTCATCCATTATTAGCTACTGTTCCCTGCTAAGTAGAGGACCTACACTTTCCATCATCTTTCTCTTGCTCCTAATGTATTTAAAGAATCTCTTCTTATTGCCTTTTACATCCTGAGCCCCTTCCTGCACACCGCACCCCCTCCCACACCCGAACCCCCTGCCCCAGCCCTACATTCATGGCCCTACATGCAATTTCCCCACACAGATGTGGCCCTCGGGCCAAAAAGTTTGCCCACCCCTGCTCTGACTAGTAGCATCTACTTGTGATAAATGTGAAGCCCCGCCTCCTTTGTTGCTAATGGAAAGGAGGTGCTTTTTTGTCTCTTCTCCTCTCTCAGAGTCTCCACTGCTCTATTCTTCCCCAAGCCTCCTGGCAGCAGGCAGAAGTGGAGAGAGCAAAGAAGTCTCTCTTAGTCTTCCCCTCTCTTAGACCTGTCCCATACATACAGTTGCATCAGTTTAACAAAAATCAGTTTAAAAACTAATTTAGTTAAACAGGTGCAAAATCCTGGGTGGACGTTCCTCTCTTGGTTTGAATCTGGCTTCTTATCAGTAATTTTACAAGCACAAGCTAAATGATAGAACCAGTTTTTAAATGAATTGTATTTAAACTATTGAAATTTCTGTATGTAGCTATAACTTTAGTCTCCTTTTTTTGATCCTTCTCATGAATAACTATAGATCCTGCCTCTGCTGCTAGTCAGAGATTTCCCAAGCACAAGCAGCATGAAATGACTGACACTTCACTCCCACCCACAAGTAGCAGCAACAAATCTGCAGTGGTGTTCATTTTACTCTGCCACTGCTTGTCAAAGCCATGAGCACTGTAACAGCACTTGAGTTGTCTGTTTGCAGAAAATAATACAGTACTAGGTTACATACTTGATAGAAGGTGATCTACAACCAGAAGGCAAGAATCTCTTTAATGAAAACTTAAATTCTATAGAAATCAAAGTCTCACCCCCCCCTCCATACTTGCCACTGATGAGTGGCTGAATTGATTTATCAAGCCTTTTTTGCAGCAGTTCTAGTGCTCTGATAGCTCAGCATAATGCTTCAAAAACTGCACAACAAAGGTCTGCGAGGTTTTGGTTTTTTACTTTCATAAATGGACCAATCCTCGTTGTTTCCACGGACAAAGCTCCCACTCACTCCAGTGGGTGTTTCACCTGAGCAAGGAGGACTGCAACATGAACCCAAAGCATCAGATCTTGCTCCTAACAAAGTCAATGCACGTTCATGCTTCAGTGGGAACCGGAACAAATCCTAAGACTAAACTTCACACCAAGCAACTGGGGCACACTTGCAAGGCCTGCTCACTGAGCCTTTCCTTGGAATAGTCTGCTACAGGTGAATATTTTTATTCTGTACAACATTTGTCATGCTGCATGATACAATCTGATGTAGATAAAATACCATATCAGGGCTGTCTGGCAAAATACGTGGACAAAGCTGATTTGCAGCAAGCTTTGATACAAACCTACTTCCAGCAAAGCAGCTCAGGAAAATATGAATATAAACGATCACAAATTCTTAATTCCATACCACCTTCGTCAACTACTTGCCAGTCTTTCAGCGTCCTGTTAAATAACTGCACATTTTTAAAATGCTAATAGCCTTTTCTCCTTTCATTATTCATACACTTTATAAATAGGATTTGTGTACTTAATCTCTAAGGTTGAAAAGCAAAACACAAATAATTCACATCCATAACTATACTGTATTTTACATAACTGAACTGCTGTTAAATAAATTCTAGATATCAAGGTCAGCAAATGAAGAACTTTTTGAAAAGCCACGATCACAGAGTTATCATTTTGCTCTTTACACTTCAGCTATTCCGTAAAGCTTCCAAATTGTTCCTGCAGCTGACATGACTGTCAGAGTGAATGCAGCAGTGAGGGGATGACGAGACCCAAAATGTTCACTAACCATGATGAGAGGCTCAAAGACACTTTTTTTTTTTAACTCCTGGTTGTGTCAGTATCATTCCTGTTCGGGGGACAAGCAGGTTTTTATAGCTACATTTACATACTCGCCCCTTGGCCTCTGCATGCAGTGACATTTCTTTCTGATTCTTTCTGGTGACATACAAGGAGCAAATATGAATTTAATTATGGTTTCTATCTGTCACTTTAAACCAAAGATAATTAGAACTTCAGATAAGAATATGCAAATAATGGTTTTAACAGGAACTCTGAGAAACATATGCTTGCTCTGTCAGCCCTTGGGCCCTTCCTTCCTAGCTTTCTTTATAAAAGTTAAATGGGGTAGTGATGTGTTGCTGATAATGGGAGCTGCTGAGGTTCATAGTGGTCAACAATATAACTTTAGAATGATACTGTAAATTACAATGCCAAAAGCATCCCCCTTGTCTTTCCTCAGCAGATAAATTCCCCAAAGAACAAGTCCTATCTGCTGGATCATATAAGGTCAAATTTTTTTTGAATACATTTTGAGCATGGCCGTATATCAAAGGCCAAAGAAAAAAGGCTCTTTACCTTTGGAGTTTATTACACCAGCTGCAGTTGAAGCCAATCTGGGCAGTGACACAGGGACCACAGCTGTTAAACTGGAGACAGGCTGGGAGATGGATAAATAAATAAATAAAAATTAATACACTCATTAATCTTATAGACAATTCTTACTACATGTGCAAAGCAAGAATAAATCCTCTCCAAAAATGTATTTAAGCGATCACTGGGCTCACAGATGTGCAGCATGACATATCAAAGATAGCCTGTTAGCATGTACTGTACAGATATATGCAGAGAAGGTACTTTTGATCTTCAGGATTTAATTTGTTTTCCATTTGTAAATTTAATCCCATTTCCAAAAACCTGCTTTCACTAAGGTTGCAAATTTTTTATTTTACTGCTAAGTATTAAGTTATTTCCTTACGTCTCCTTCCTTCTCATTCTCACATTTCTGGGTATAGCTAACATTTAGACATATGCAGATAAGAAGACTGGCAGGAAAATGTGTAAGAACTATAACTGGATTAGGAAAAAAGGGTGATAGCTACTTTCAATGTATCATAGTGGTACAGCTGGCAATTTAAATGCTAAGATTTCTAAACAATGTAGGTTTACCTTGAGCAAAGAAGGTGGATGAATTGCAAGACTTGTTTGTGTGTTTGTTTAAGATGGGCTGCACTGCACACATAAATTTTTGTGTTTGACTCACAAGGTTGAAATTTATTCCCTTTCTTCATGAAGCAAACAATGGATATATAGACATGCATTGGAAAATCATTTAGTGCAGTTATCATTCAAGATCTACTGGCAGTTATGATAAAACTCTGATCTGTTAAGTTACTTGAAGCACTAGTCAGCTATATAAAGTTTTCAAACCCTCAGATTCTAGGAAAATATTTTGGAACTCTGCATTTTCCAACTATTTTGGACCTATCCATATTACATTTTACTTACTAGGTAGAGGTATCATCTCAACTGCTGACAGACTGGTAATCTTTGACATCTGTAGCTCCACCCTGTGGTATTCATAAATTGTTCTTCTACGGACATCTACCAGGGAGAAAAAACAGGGAGGAGATATTTTCATATCTTATTGTTTTGCAAGCTGCACCCTGTGAGAAACCAATGGGTTTACCAGTTGCTTGCTATACTACACACACACACACACAGAGCACATTTACCCCATGACACAATTTTAACTTAACAGCTCTGGAATAGGAGATTCATTTGAGAAACCATCAGAGCCTTTCACCAATAAAGGACTATGAAAATGCTGAATGAGCTCTCAGCCATCTCATTAACTCATTTAGGCAGAACTTCTAAAGCTGATACTCAAATAGATTTTAGACTATATTTCAGATATTCCCCCCAAGAAGATGTTTCCCAAGCTAGATGGCTTATAGAAACATACTGTCAGAATGCCATTTGTTCTCAAAATGTGCAAACAAAAATGGTTTCATCACTTAATTTATTTGTTAGCTGGAAGCTACTTCACATCTTAATATGGCAGCCTTTGCTCAAAAGTATTGGATTAGAACTATTTTAATATTAAAAAAATGGAGTCAAGAAACGTGTTACTAAAAAGGCAGCTGCATATGAAATCACTATAAACTGAAACCAGGTATGTTTCTCAAAGCAGAAGATTCACTGCAAAGTTATAAGTGTACTGTTTTGACAGGCTTTGAACACACAAGCCCAAAGCAACAGAAGGGAAATGTAAAAAAAAATACCATTTTATTGTTAGTTTCCTATTCAGTGTTCTATTATTTATTCTGGTCATCTTCAATACTCCAGATATTAAATGTATGGCTGCAAAGCAGACCAGAACATTTGCAACTTAGAAGTATAGACTATACCACTGGTCTTATATTATATGTTTTGACCAAGAGAACCACCTGCCAAATCAAAGCAATCAGGGAATGTGTTTGAAATGAATTCCTGCTGATGCCTGAAGCTTTCATTTGTTTTGTTTTGTTTTGATTTTTAAAATCTGGCTCCTGTCCAAAAAAAAAAAAAAAAAAGGCAAATGGATACATAGATATAAATGATGGCACTGGCACGATAAATGAACCCGGCAGCATTCTGTCATTAGCAGAGGTGAACAGTGCAGGTTGGTTTGCCATAATCTTATTATTTCTGAGTCTGTCACAATAAATGCCCAAGGGGGACATGTATGAAACCAGGTATTCAGGCTTTCCAAAATCCCCATGAAACAGTCTGTCACAATCACCCTGCAGATAATTACTAAAAATACTAATATTATGTAAGATTATGTCTGATATAAAAAGCTGATTTATAGTCATGCAGAATGCAGCATGACTGCTAATCCCATTAAGTGATACATTTTCAGATGGATGGAGGCTTGACCCTCCCTTTTGGAGAAACAGTTGGCACCCACAAAACATAATGTGGGCTTCCATACTGTGGTGACACGTGGTGTAAGAAAGCCTAGCAATAGGTAGGAATCTGAGTACTTGCACTCTTAACTACTTGATTTGTGCTGTAAGCAGGTAGCTGGAAGTACAAGCACTCAGATTTGTGTATACAGTTAAAATGTATGGAAAATGCCGGTACAGCTTCTTTTGAAAATTTGACTTGAAATGCACTTTTCATCCCCTTTCAAAATTCACATATTCCTCAGGCATATAATCCTCAGTCCTCTTCTTCCTAAGAGAACAAAAGCCAGAAACCAAATCAAAGCAGAAAAACACAACCGAAGTCCCCAATCCTAGACACATGCAGCATTCACTTGGGTGCTGTTGTTGCTTTTCACAGGCTGTCTATTGGTTTGGGTATTTAACAAACAAGTATAAATACAAAGTCCCTGCCCACCAGAGTTTGCAGTCTAAGGCCTCACTTCACCCAGGTAGTTAGGTGCATGCTTAACTGTAAGCATGAGTAGTCCCACTGAAGTCAATGGGACTACTCATAGACTAAGTTAAGCACGGGCTTAAGCATCTTGTTGAAACGAGGCTTTACACTGCAATCTCTTGGGGCAGGGACTTTGTATTTATACTTGTTTGTAAAGCATCTATCACGCTTTTGGCATGACAAAAAATATAATACCACATGTCATGATAGCTTAGATAACCTCGGTGTGTATTAGAAATACATTTCTGTTAATAGTATTTCCCTGAGCATGTGTATGAAAAATGTTTTACTTTTCTTTTAGTCTTTCTTTGTCTCCCATGATTTTTTTTTTAATTTGAAAAGGATCAATAATGTATAATTCTTCAGTAACAGTTTCTACCTTGTGGGCAACTGTTACATTTACATTGTAGTCCAAATAGTCCAGATGTAATATCTTTGAATAGAAAAACAAAGGCAGATTTCTGGCATAAAAGAACTGAAGAGAAAACTAGCCTCTTGAGGTAACTACACACCTCAGCACTGTTGCTAGCCTCTAAAGAGATAGCATGCTGTCACAAGGCCAATTGCAATAGTCCTTTCAAGATATTAAGCAACATATCTGTAAATTATAGATGTCTAAAATACTGGTCTGATAGCACATTTTTCTCTACAGGATTATCACAGTGGTTTAAATGAAATAATGACATATAAACATTACTTGAATCAGAAGTGCCAGAGTTTACTACATTAGCTACAGAATGCAGGAGGCTCTGCAGATGGTGCAGTAACACAAGAGCAGCAGAGGCTTCTCCAACATATCAAAAGGGTTAGTACTTGTACTGAACTATTCTGAATGCATACATTTGACAGATGTAAACCCTGATTAGGTTTCTTCTATTAAATCTATTTCAGTTAAATCTTCTAATTTTATCTTCACAAATGACAAGGCTTTGTCACTTAAAGACCCCCAGGGATTCAACATCAGCCCTAGAATCAGCAAGAACCACTAACAAAAATAGCTTATCTAGTCAGAGAGTTCTTATGTATTTGTGAATCTAAGGGGTGAAAAAAACAAAAATAAAAATGACCTGTTTACAAATGAGTATGACAGCTCAGTACAAAATAAACAAGCTATGAAGGATATTCAGCTTACACTACCAGCAATTTATGAATCAAATAAAAGTTACAAAAGAGGGTGGGGCAAATCTCAGTACAATATGACTTTTAAATCCAGCAACTACTACTATATATGACCAACTGAGATCTTCATGCCATAGGAGCAAGTATGAATTTTGGGTTGATCATGCTGCTAATCCCATATGACTGGCAGCCAACTCCTACTGAATGCAAAAGAGTCAGAATGGTCTGAAGATTAATTTCAAAGTAATATTCACCCTCAGCACTTCAAGCACTTTCCATCTTCAAAGGTCTGTAAACTACTAACATTAACTAATGAATCTACAAACAAGAATCTACTGTTTGACACTAGGGAAGTGCTGCTTCCTTATAACGCATGGTTATGCATATGTGTCCAAGGCTGTGTCTACACTGCCCCACAGATTGGACTTCAGGGGTGTGAATAGCAGAGTGCACCAAAGGGCTGCGATATAACTCCCCCACGTGAATACATTAGGTGCGCATGAAAAGGTTCCTCGTTAGCATTAATGTAGTCCTGTTTGAAGAGAACTATGTTAACACAAATGAGGAGTGATTTAGTTCATGCCCTCAGCATCTACACAGGGCAGTTACAGTGCAGTACTTTGGTGCACACTGCTATTCACCCCCCATAATCTGAACTCTGAGGAAGTGTAGACAAGCCCTAAACTTCCAACCAAGATGTGGGTCCCTCTTTGTTAGGGTTACCATATTTAAAAATTAAAATAAGAGGACACTCCACGAGGCCCTGGCCCCTCCCCTTCCCCACCCAACTCTGCCCCTTCCCCACCCGACCCCGCCCCAACCCCGCCCCTTCCCCGCCCCAACTCCGCCCCTTCCCCAAAGTCTCCGCCCCAACTCTGCCCCCTCACCTGAGCGCCCCGCATTCCCCCTCCTCCCTCCCAGCCACGCAAAACAGCTGCCCAAGCGCTACCGGCTTCACAGTTTGCCGGGCAGCCC